TTAAGATGCGCAAATGTAAACAAATCAACTTGTTAGAGACATTCCTCTCCTCTTGAAAAAAAAACAACAACCCTACAAAACAAGAAAACTTCACCAAACGCCACAATAATACACAGCAAGGCCAAATTAATACGTTTTTTCATCAGATATTGATGATTCTTTCCTGTGTGACACAAAAATAGGAGACAGATGTTTGTTTGTTTTTAACTAGTTAAACACCCACGCCCAGAAAAATGGGGGCTAAATGGAGGAGATCACGTTTAATCGGTTCCTAAATATAAGTGCCGACATGAGTAGTGTCACAGGTAATATCCATATTTTGTTATATGATTTAAATATGAACCAAAGCATATTTTAGGCTATAAAATACTTTAAAAAATTAGGTGAAGGAAATAAAAAATCAAATGTTTCTATGTTTGAGTCACAGTAACTTTGACATAGTAACATCTGCAGTAATATTTACACCTCTGATGACATCTCACAAGTGTTAGCTGTATTTTGTTACCAAGACTGTTTACACACAGTTTGTAGTGGGAGAGAAATGCTGCATTTATTTTGGTCATTTCATTTTCAAGCAGAAAGCTCAGAAAACGCCTGAGGGTCTAGCAGCTTAAAGTTAATATTACAACTCAAGATTTTTCAAGCACCTGTATGAACCCTGGTATGCGTCTGAGTTTACATGACTTTAGTACCCAGCAGATGATTTCTACATCTTCCTCTCACCTGTCTCTGACGTGCAGGACGATCGGCACTCAGTGCAGTGCAGGAAGTCCTCCCACATCAGGTCCTCGGTCTCAGACTCGTGTCGAGTACTCTCTGAATCCTGAGTCCTCAGACTTGAACATCTGGAGCTGCAGCTGGTACCAGACTTGGGGACATCCTGACAGAAAGGAGAAAATGACTGTCATTTGTTTGAATTTGTCCAGTATGAATGAATGAATGAATGAATGAGCTTCCTGCGAAGGAGTTAATGTGTCCATGCTAACCTCCACAGTGTAGTGTTTCTTATAGTGGTGCGTATTCTTGCGATTTCGGAGTGCACAGTCACTGTTCATTCTTTCCACTCCCCTGCGGAGGGCGCTGTAGGACGCTTCAGGGTCCTCCTCACTGGAAGCCTCATCGGACGCCGGCTCCTTAAAAACAAAGTGACATGAGAGTCAAATCCAGGACAATATTAGGGTTAAAATATTAAAATAATGATCACTGATAGGTTACCTTATTACCGCCGGCCAGCAGCAGTCCATTGTTGCGGGCAGCGTGACCGTGTGCAGGCTGCGTGTGCGGGTTCCAGCACACCTCGTCAGCCCTATTTAACAAATCGCATCGCTGCTCGTGGAGCTGGAGCCCCTCCTCGCTACTGCGATTGGTCACGCGGCCGTCCAGCGACACGTAGCCGTTGTCCGTTTCTGTGGATTTATCGATGGAAAGCTTGGACTTCTTGGATCTTTGGTAGGAAGCAAAGGAGAGGAAGAACAGAAAGAAAACCAGATCGGAGGTCGATGGGGGGGGAAAGTGCAGAAACAGACATATTTAGATAAGCAGAGAAGTGGCAGGGCTGTGATTATCTTAAACTAGTAAATAATTACAGTTAGAAAATTAGACATGCAATAGCAAACTCACAACAGGATGCATTCAACACAGTCATGTGGAACATTCACACAAAATAAACGCTTGTAATGGCAGCTAAGTCGACATCGAGTAAGATACCTGCATTTTAAAATACAGTGTTTTATCTGTAGTAAATTAGAGTACAATTGGTGATACTGCTTTCTGATACTCATTACAAGAGATTTTTTTAAAGCTATTTTTGGAATAAAAGCCTGAATTAGATAGAAGAAAGTGTTTTGGAGCTAAAGTGAGTGTGGCAGATAATTGGATAATGGATTTCCCAAATAAAGAGCTACTTGGATCTCAAAAAGGTTCCACACTGTTGCAGTCTGCTGAAAGCTTGTTCAAGTAGAAGCATGGGGGTTAGGGCTTTACTCACCACAGACATGCACGCCTCTTGCCCCAATGCTTCTTTTAAACATAGCTTTATCAGCAAATTACTGGCATAAAATTTAGCTGCAAAATCCACCTGCACCTCATTAATGAGGGAAAGATTTGGCACTACAGGAAGCAGAATTTACACAGGCGTTAAACTGCAGAACTGACTTTACATTTCAGCATCAAGCTTGCCTGTTTAGTTGACCAATGAGGGGGACGGTGTTCTCCATCCCTTCCTAAATAAACGTTAGGTTATGATGTTGCAGCTAAAGAAGCCAAGGTTAGGCTCTGAGGCAAGGCTGGGTTTTTGTTTTCAAAAGACCCAACGTTTTGCAAATTAATGGATTCAAACTGTAGCCCAGCCCTGCCTATGTTCATCATCTCATTGTAGGAAGATGGAAAATGAAAATACACACCCAGCTTTACAGATATCATGCCAGAAATCTTGGAAGAAAGCGCCCAGGCTGTATGTGGTGCTGGCTGAGTGGGAGTGTGGCGCCCCCTCCTGTGTGTTATCGGTAGTGCTAGACCCGTCGCCTTCCCTATGCACCTCCATCTGAGATGCCTTCCTCAACTTCCTTCGGTTTGGAAAAAAGTGGAGAGACACTTAGAGCGGACCTGGAGACTCCTGACACCACAGCCGTGTGTCCACCGGGAGTCTGGCTGCACCTTCATCGTAACACTGATGATACGGTTCGACTAACACAGGAAGCTAAACTCAAAAAAGGTGCTGTGACTCAGCCGGCACCCGCTGGACACGCAGGCTGGAACAGATCAAAGGCAAATTCTCCCAAAATCATCATCTAGGCTGTTACTCTGCAAAAGTAGATTCATGAAATATTACAAGCTAAAATTTGAATATCATAGCATCAAAACAAAAAGATGATAAAATCTTAAATCTTAAAAAATAAAAAGGATTAGGATGCTTCCAGTTTCACTGGTGTTCTTTGGGTTGTGAATGTGATAAACTGTGAAATTCTGTGTTTACTTTTGCAGGACATTAACATAAAAAATGATTATCAAGAACTTGATTATCATTATTTTAATATAGGACACACAGGAGAGGTGCAGGACAGAGCTTCTTCTCAAAATTTAAAAGCAAAGAATTCATTATGATGATCACTGGGTTAAAAAAAAAAAGTTAATTTAAATATTTTGCTGCTGTCAATTGATATGACGACATGTCTCCAAAGGTAGGATAAGGAAAAGAGAGAAAGGTCACACAAACAAACTCCTCTTTGATCAAATGTGATTGTACTCCTTGTGATTTTCAGACTTAACCTTAAGGTGACAGAGAACAAAGACTGATTCAGTATTGAGGCACACTATTTTTGTATCCCCAGAAAACCTTTCCAAAACAGTGGCATGGTCCAATTTTCTTCCCAGGAGTTTGAAAATTGTCTTTATGTTACTGTGAGCCAGAAAAGCAGCCGCACACCAAAAAGCCTTGAACCCAAAAAAACACAAAGGGAAACTCACAGACTGCAAATCTAAACACTACAAAACACAGCAGCAATAAGCAAACTACTCTACTTTCTCACACACACACAGAGCTCATTTCATCTTTAAGAAGTGACAGCACATTCATCCAGGGTGTGTTTTAGTACAGATTTGAGTGTTTTACGCTTTACATTAACTGAGGTCAGATACACCCCAGCAACAAAAGAGGTTTTCATTAATTTTTCTTTCCATCACTCTTTTGGCATCTGGTGGTTTGTATATCAACTAAATACTGCCTTTGTTATTTCACATCTTCCTCTTTATCTCTTCCTGACTCTCTCTTTTGTCCC